TTGCACATAACATCCAATGAAACCTACCAACGAAATTCATTTTGTAAGTAGCAATGCAATAAATGTAAATTGTAAAAATAACTAGTCAATAAATTTTGAAATTATTACCCGTCATTATAGGGCACCAACCAGCAGTCCATAGAGTCATCCTTCAGAGCATTTTCAACATAACGTATGCGATTATTGTTGAATTCGATCCAGCCAGTACTAATTTGCTCATTGCATGAAATCTTGCTCGGATCTAGAAATCGGTATGCATTTTTTCCCTGTAGCTCAAATCGATCACAAAGAACCCTGCAAAAAAATGAATTGGAGAAATTTAAATTAAACTTGTTGTATAGCGCACTTCTGATTTAAAAAAATGAAATATTGAATGGAAGTGATTGATTTTGGAATACCAAATCCAGTATTGAAGAATAGAAACATCAACATATTTCATTTTCATGAAATCTTTTAACACATCTATCGAGATAGAAAAGGAGAACTCTTCTTGCATCATATCGCTGGTGATGTGAACAACTGCTTCTCTGTGGGTTTGGGTCTCAGATATAATGTGATAGGTGGTTTTCATGAACTCATCCCATGTAGATGGCTCATACTTATCACATTCAAGCTTTGTGCTCTCCTCCATTAGTTTGGATGCCTTCATTAGTTGCTTCCCCTCTTGACTTGGATGGTCTTGGTTTTCTGTTTTGTTGTCCATCTTTACTTTTTGGATACGACACCTTTTGCTTCTAATTCTCGTTTGCTCAGATGATATAAACTGTGCGGGTTTCATTTTTTTTGAGGTAAGTGCTCCTGGATAATTTAGTATATAACAAAATTAAGTATAATGCATTAAACAACCTCCCAGGATACCACACAAACATACCACGGTATATTCATACTCCCATGGATTCAAACTGTTCTATGTTCAAAGTTTATATTAAGTTAAGTTTTCCCTTCATGAAGCCTGATCCGAGCCTAATACTTCATCCAGTGATCACAATTCACAACTAGAAGTTTGAAACAAATATGCTTTAAAATGAGATTGTGTTAACCATAGGAAGATAAAGTCAAAAACTAAACAACCTCTTGAGACAGATAGTAAGAGTAAGCTGTAGGAAGTGGGTTGTTAATTTAGCAAGTGCTAAGCATGCGTCAAGACCTGCGTTTTGTGTATTTTTTTCCACTGTTTTTTGCATGCACTATAGTGTTAAGTATTATTAATTGTGGATAATTAATTGACACTGCCTAATACTATGTACAAATTTCATGGCCACAACCCTAAGATAGTTGGGACTAAGTGGGGGTGGGGATGAATTGGTGACGAATAAATTATGTAACTTTATATCAAACTAATATAAGTGGTCTATATAACCAGTAACCAGTATACTATAATTTTGAATTCAATAGTTATTTTGGCAGTGTATTTTGGCAGTATACTACAATTTTGGATTCAACAGTGCTTTAAAAACCAGTTCTTTAGCTATTCTATGGCAGTGTATGTGGTTGAGAAATAATACAGTTGCAAAATTTAAATTTATCCATAGCTCTTATTTTTTGAACAGAAGAAGAAATAAAACCAATCTAAAAGAACCAATTTACTTTAGGATTCAATACAATAGCTCTTCTTTATTCAAAATAAAGGATACAAAAACGAGTCTAAACCAGTTAAATACTTTAAAATTCATCAATACAATAGGATTCAAAAACCAGTGTAAATCAATAGCTCTTCTTTTTACCTTGCAGAGTGTTGGGAAAAAAGATGGTATACAATCAATTTCTAAATTAAAGCCTTAAAAACACTAATTTGCAGAAAAATTAAAAGATTTCGAAAATAAATGAAACCTGTATGGATCCGCGATTGATTCTTGCAAGTAGTCAATTGATTATGCGAGAAATCAAGAAATAGAGGCCGGCTATCAATTTGAGACTACGGAAATCAATCAATTTGCACGTTTCGATCGAGAGAGGAAACCAAGCGGTGCTGGTTTGGCGATCGAGAGAGTTTGGAATCTGGAGTTGGTTGGGTGAGGGAATCAACCTGCGCTGGAGTTCTTTTAATTTGCGCAGGTGAGGTTTCACAGCGCCACCGCTGTGTAAGCGTAAAAAGAAAAAAAGGGATACGCGTTAATAACCTCCAAATAGCGCTAGTAATAGGTCTTAAAATTTACACAGCCCTTTTAAGTTATTCGCTGTGTAAAGTGCGCTGTGTAATGTATATTCTGTAGTAGTGTATGGAAACAAAAAAACAAATACTGGATCTCCACAAGAAATAAGAACAATAAAATATTTATATATATTCCAATTAAATCCATGGACAAATGGTTCTAAACTCATCCAACCCTGAGTTGAAAAAAACCCCTCATGGATAAAATAAAGCTACCAAATCAGTCTTAGATAATAAATATATAACTTGACAAAACTTAATTGAAAAGTTGTCCATCACAATCACTAGTTAAAAGTTGTCCATCATCGGACATCCGCATTTAAATCTTAGCTTAGGCGCCTCTGCATACATAGAAATTAAATTCAAACAAAAATTAATAATAAAAATACTACTCCGACTACAATATCTATCACGCACAATAAATCAATCAATCAATCAAATACAACAAAAACAAAACAAAATGGAACAAAAGGTCACCTTGCCTCAGATGAGAAAAGTCTCCAGATCCACGAAGAGCGGCGGTGGAACATCAGACGCCCCATTTTCCCCATTGTGACCATTCTTAGGCTGCTTACCACCACCACCGTCGTTTTCTCCACCACTGTTGTCTCCGTTCTTCTTTTTTTTAATCAGCCCCTTCCCCGCAACCCTTTTCTCTATTCTTCTTTTCCTCGTCAGCCCCTCCCATACTGCCACTCCCATTGATCGGAACGCTACGCCACAGTCGCCTTGACGCCCAACCTCTTTCAAATTTCATACCATGCTTTTATGGTACTTTAGCAGCTTCATCACATTCTCATCAATGCGCTTCAACAAGAATTAATAGTTAAAATACTACTCCGACTACAATATCTATCCCACACAATAAATAAATAAATAAATAAAATACAGTAAAAAAACAAAAATGGAACGATAGCTCACCTTGACTTAGATGATAAAAGTCTCCAGAACCACAGAGAGCGGCGGCGGAACAATTGACGCCCCATTTTCCCCATTGTGACCACTGCTGGGCTGTTTACCACCACCGCCGCCCATTCCTCCTCCACCACTGGCATTTCCTCCACCGCAGCCGTCGTCTCCGTTCTTCTTTTTCTCATCAGCCCCTCCCCCGCTGCCCTTTTCTCCGTTCTTCTTTTCCTCATTAGCCCCTCCCACGCTGCCACTGCCATTGATCAGAACGCTGCTGCCACCGCCGCTCTGATGCCAAACCTCTATCGAATTTCTTTCCATGCTCTTATGGTACTCCAACAGCTTCATCACATTCTGATCAATGCGCTCCAACCTTTCCCCCATTGAGGGATGAGCCACGAATCGTGATAGAATGCTCTCCACAGTCTTTCGGAAGCCATGTTTGGTGGATGAAGCAACGACACCGCTAATTTGGGTCATGCTCTCAGTAGTTCCGGTGATTAATCCCGCCTTGAAAGCGTTCCCCAAAGCTTTCTCCGGATGTTCTGCCTTTTCCCACCAGCCTCTTTTTCCCAGTACTCAGCCATCTCTCTCGCCGCGCTGAAAGTGACCCACTTCTTCATTTTTTTAAGAAAAGAGTGTGAGAGAAGATAGCAACGCAAAATGGAGAGGGCAAGGTCGGCTGTGGACTGTGGAAGGGAAGAAGAGAAGATGAGGAATACTTATTGGCTCCTCCCGACAAACCCCAACAAGATTCAGCAGAAAAGAAAAAAACTAAAACCAAAACTGCAACAACCCTATCGAAAACTTACAATCTGCAAAATTTAGGAAATTCTTGTATTTTGAAAGTACTAGAATGCTAATCCCAATCTATATTGTGGAACCTTACTACATCCTTTTTAGGGCACTGTCATTTATGTTAAGTAGCTTCCAACAACTACACACAACCGTCCTCTAAATTAGCATCTACAAAATTGCATCTTCACTGCACTTGCATTTCCACCCGACATCTAGTTTTGGGACTCGTGGGAGCCTCTAGGCAACCAATAACATCGGCAGACAACAATGCTTTAGGGATGCAGTTGCAGCTCCACATTACGTAACAGATTGGTTGCTCCTCAACCTTCCTTTTTCTACGGCAATGCGCAGATTCAATTATTCGAACAAGTCCTCAAACAAAAAAAAGGGTTCGGAGGAAATCTACCATGGAAACAAAAAAATACTCGATCTCCGCAAGAAATAAGAATATTAAAATATTTAAATATATTCCAATCAAATCCATGGACATGTTGGTTTTGAACTCATCCAATCCTGAGTCGAAAAAACCCCCCATGGATAAAATAAAGCACCAAATAAATCTTAGATAATAAATAACTTGACAAAGCTTAATTAAAAAATTGTCCATCACAATCACTAGTTAAAAGCCAAAAATATTAAATGCTTCATCCAAAATGAAAGATGAATAGATCCATCGATCAAATTTTTCTTCATCTCCATCATCGGACATCCGCATTTATTCCATAGCCTAGACGACTCTGCATACATAGAAATTCAAACAAAAATTAATAATAAAAATACTATTCTAACTACAACATCTATCCCACACAATAAATCAATCAATCAATCAAATACAGTAAAAACAAAACAAAAATGGAATGACGGCTCACCTTGACTCAGATGAGAAAAGTCTCCAGACCCACGGTGAGCGACGCCGGAACATCCAACGCCCCATTTTCCCCATTGTGACTATTTCTGGGCTGCTAAACACCGTCGCCATTTCCTCCACCGAAACCATTGTCTTCGTTCTTCTTTTTTTCATCAGCCCCTCCCCCACTGCCCTTTTCTCCGTTCTTTTTTTCCTCATCAGCCCCTCCCACACTGCCACTGCCATTGATCGGAACGCTGCCGCTGTCGCCGCCCTGACGCCCAACCTCTTTTGAATTTCTTTCCATGCTTTTATGGCACTCCACCAGCTTCATCACATTCTGATCAATGCGCTTCAACCTCTCCCCCGTTGAGGGATGAGTCAGGTATTGTGATAGAATGCTCTCCACAGTCTTTCGGAAGCCATGTTTGGTGGATAAAGCAACGACACCGCTGATTTGGGCCATGCTCTCAACAGTTCTGGTGATTAATCCTGCCTTTGAAAGCATTCCCCAAAGCTTTCATCGGATGTTCTGCCCTTTCCCACCGGCCTCCTTTGCCCAATATTCAGCCATCTCTCTCGCTGCACTGAAAGTGAACCATTTTTCATTTTTTTAAGAAGAGAGTGTGAGAGAAGATAGCAGAGCAAAACGGAGAGGGCAAGGTCAGCTGTGGACTATGAAAGGGAATGAGAGAAGATGTTGAATATGTATTGGCTCCTCCCGACAAACCCCAACAAGATTGACTAGAGAAGCAAAAAAACTAAAACCAAAACTACAACAAACCCATTGAAAACTTACAATCTACAAAACTTAGAAATTTTTTGCATTTTGGAAGTAGTAGAGTGATAATCCCAATCTATATTGTGCAACCTTACTACATCTTTTATAGGGCACTATCATTTAATTTATGCTAAGTAGCTTCCAACAACTACATACTACAGTCCTCTTATTCAGCATCTAAAATATTGCATTTTCACTGCACTTGAATTTCTTCCCGACATCTAGTTATGGGACTCATGGGAGCCTCTAGGCAACCAATAGCATCAACAGACAACAACACTTTAAAGATGCAGTTACAGCTCCACATTACGTAACAGATTGGTTGCTCCTACACTTTCCCTTTTCTACGGCAGCCGCAGATTCATTCATTCAAACAAGTGATCACACCCAAAAAAAGATAATTCGGAGGAAATAAGCTATGGAAACAAAAAAACAAGTACTGGATCTCCGCAAGAAATAAGGACAGTAAAATATTTATATATATTCCAATTAAATTCATGGACAGACGTACAGTTCTGAACTCATCCAACCCTAAGTCAAAAAAAAACCCCTCATGGAAAAATAAAGGTACCAAATAAGTCTTAGATAATAAATATATAACTTGACAAAGCTTAATTGAAAAGTTGTCCATCACAATCACTCGTTAAAAGCTAAAATTATTAAATGCTTCATCCAAAATGAAAGAAGAACAAATCCATCCAGCAAATTCTTCTTCAGTCCCATCATCGGAAATCCACATTTATTCCTTAGCTTAGGCGGCTTTACATGCATACAAATTCAAACAAGAATTAATAATAAAAATGCTACTCCGACTATTATACTTATCCCACACAATAAATAAATAAATCAATCAAATACAGTAAAAACAAAACAAAAATGGAACGACGGCTCACCTTGACTCACATGAAAAAAGTCTCCAGATCAACACAGAGCGGCGGCGGAACATCTGACGCCCCATTTTCCCCATTGTGACCATTGCTGAGCTGTTTACCACCACCGCCGCCGTTTTCACCAACACCGCCGTTTTTTCCTCCACCGCAACTGTTGTCTCCGTTCTTCTTTTTTTAATCAGCCCCTCCCCCGCAACCCTTTTCTCTTTCCTTCTTTTCCTCGTCAGCCCCTCCCACACTGCCACTCCCATTGATCGGAACGCTACGCCGCAGTCGCCTTGATGCCCAACCTCTTTCGAATTTCGTACCATGCTTTTATGCTACTCCAGCAGCTTCATCACATTCTGATCAATGCGCTTCAACCTTTCCCTTGTTGAGGGATGAGTCAGGTATCGTGATAGAATGCTCTCCACAGTCTTTCAAAAGCCATGTTTGGTGGATGAAGCAACGACACCGCTGATTTGGACCACGCTCTCAACAGTTCCAGTGATTAATCCCGCCTTTGAAAGCGTTCCCAAAGCTTTCGCCAGATGTTCTGCCCTTTCTCGCCGGCCTCTTTTGCCGAGTACTCAGCCATCTCTCTCGATGTGCTGAATGTGAACCATTTCTTCATTTTTTCAAAAGAGAGTGTGAGAGGAGCGCAAAATGGACAGGGCAAGGTCGGCTGTGGGCTGTGGAAGGGAAGAAGAGAAGACGATGAATATGTATTGGCTTCTCCCAATAAACTCCAACCAGATTGAGACGGAAAAACAAAAAAAACTAAAACCAAAACTACAACAACCCCATTGAAAACTTACAATCTGCAAAACTTAGAAAATACTCGTTTTTTTGAAAGAACTAGAGTGATAATCTTAATCTATATTGTGTAGCCTTACTACATCTTTTTCAGGGCACTGTTACTCATGTTAAGTAGCTTCCAACAACTGCACACAATAGTCCTCTAATCAGCATCTAAAAAATTGCATCTTCACTGCACTTGCATTTCTGCCCGACATCTAGTTATGGGACTCATGGGAGCCTCTAGGCAACCAATAACATCATCGAACAACAACACTTTAGGGATGCAGTTGCAGCTCCACATTACGTAACAGATTGGTTGCTCCTCAACTTTCCCTTTTCTACGGCATCTCGCAGATTCATTAATTCAAGCAAGTCGTCAGACCAAAAAAAGACGGTTCGGAGGAAATAAAGTGTGGAAACAAAAAAACAAATACTTGATCTCTGTTAGAATAAGTGCCCTTCACTAGAGGGGGGGGGGTGAATAGTGAGGCACGAGAATGTTTATAAATTTTTGCGGAATAGAAATCGCAGGGATAAAGTAAAGAGCGTAGAATAAAAAGCGTAAAGAAAGAACACACCGATTTTACCCTGGTTCACCACAATGTGTGGCTAGTCCAGCCTCCCGAGAGACTCTCTCAAGCTACACTACTTCCGTTAAGCTTACGGGTGCTTAACAAACCGTTACACCTTGAGAACTCGAGTCCCACGAGCCTCAATACACTTGCTCGGAGATACCGCACTCCAAGACTTCAACCCGAAGGAATATGCCCTTCCTTCGTACAATCAAGGGAACAAACCTCCCTTAAAGTGTACACAACACTTAACCACTCAAGAACTAAAACTCTCTTAAAGAGTAGAATATGAGTAAACTACTTTAGATCAAGAACACACTCAATTCCTCAAGAAATGGCTCTAAAAAGCTATGTAAAAAGTTTATGGAATGATGCAATGTAAAGCTATGAAATATGTGAGGAATGAATGTTCAAAGTAGACCCAAGAGACCCATTTTTATACCCAAAAACAAGGTGCAACGGTTGGGAGAAGATTGGGGTTGATTGGCTTGATTTGTGGAAATCAAATAAAAGTGGATCTGCTGAAATCTAGCCCGACAGCGCTGTTCATATAGTGAACATCGCTGTTTTGGATTTGACTTTCCTTTAAAAATGGCTAACGGTCATCAAAACATCGATGTCTAGAAGTCTACATCGATGTTGGGGTGTTTGACTTTCAAAAATGGAAAGATTTTGTCTTAAATAGCCCAACGGTCATTTGAAAACA